CAGATGCCACTCGTGCCATGATCAATGCAGACGTTTCCTGGACTGACCACAGACTAATTCGAACAGTGATGACTCTCAAACTAAACCACAAACACATCAACCGACCAAAAACTATACAGAAGAAAAGACTCAATGTAACCAGACTAAAAGAGCCAGCAGTACAGGCCCGAGTGAAAAAACTTGCTCAAAGACTCAGCACCAACCAGGCTTCAGGATTTTTTCATGAGTACTGGACACAACTCAAGACGGCAGTTATAACCAGCTGTGAGCACACCATTGGCTACACAAGTAGGAAAAACTGACTAGTTTGATGGCAACGACCAGGAAATTACAGGCCTCATTGACAAGAAGCAGAAAGCATTCATCGTCTGGCAACACAAACAGTCTAGACAGAAAAAAAAATCATATAGGAGGCCAAATCGGAAGTACAAACTAAAATCCGGGAACTGAAGAACAACTGGTTCAGAAACAAAGCAGAAGAATTACAACATCTTTTAGATTCCCATAACCCACGATTTTTTTAAAGCAACCAGTCTTATATGGACCATCAAAACAGGGCCTTGCACCACTTCAGTCTAAGGATGGGACAGAAATCTTCAAAGACAAAAATGCAATACTCTCCCGCTGGCAGGAACACTTCAGCTGCAACGCTGTTGTAGATGCTTCTATATTAAGTGAGATCCACAACACTCTCCCACTGAGGATTTAGCTGGAGAACCAACGATGCTTGAAGTGGCTAATGCTGTCAAACAGATGAAAGAGAACAAAACTAGTGGGCTAGAACAGATTCCTGCTGAGATATACAAACATGGAAGACAATGCCTACTAGAACACCTGCACTCCCTCATGGCCAGGATCTGAATTGATGAAGACCTTCCCAACGAAGGGAAAGATTCCATCATCGTGACCATCTTCAAAAAAGGTGACAAGTCAGACTGTGACAACTACAGAGGAATCTCTCTTCTTACCACCACTGCAAAAATACTGGCAAGAATCCTACTAAACAGACTTCTACCACTTGCTGAAAAACTCCTTCCTGAATCGCAGAGTGGTTTTCGACCTGGTAGGGGAACCTCAGACTTGATCTTCTCAGCCTGTCAACTCCAAGAGAAGTGCCAGGAACAGAGACTACTATTGTACATCGCCTTCTTTGATTTGACTAAAGCTATTGATTCTGTTAATCGTGATGCACTATGGAGAATCCTTTTGAGATATGGCTGCCCAACAAAATGTGTTAACGTCCTCCATCTGTTGCATGATGGTATGAAGGCTGTCATCCTCTCTGATGGTGAAACCTCAGAGCCAATAGAAGTAAGGACCAGTGTGAAGCAAGGTTGCGTTATTGCACAAACTCTTTTCTCCATCTTCTTGGTGGGAATGCTTCATCTGACAGAGAACAGACTTCCCAGAGGCATAAATATCACATATAGGATAGACAGGAACATATTCAACATTAACCGTTTAATAGCCAAGTCGAAAACATCCGTTATTATATTCCAATATGCTGATGATGCCCAAGTCAGTGCCTGCTCAGAAGCTGACCTTCAGGTCATCATTGTCAACATATGTACAGATGCTTACAACAGGATGGGTCTAAAATTGAATACCAGAAAAACTAATATATTTTTCAACAAGCTCCGGGAGGACACCGACCACCCCCTACAATCATTACCAACAATGCAATATTAGAAAGCGTTCCCAGTTTCCCATACTTAGGCAGCCATCTCTCTAGCAATGTCTTAATTGATTATGAAATCCAACATCGGATTTCCCGAGCTAGTGCTGCCATTGGCAAACTTAAGAACAGGGTCTTTGAAGACCACAACATTACCGCCATGACCAAAGTGGCCGTGTATAATGTTGTAATAATTCCAACCCTCTTATATGTTGCAGAAACCTGGACCACTTATAGTAAACACATAAAATCCCTCGAAATGTTTGATCAACGCTGTCTCAGGAAAATAGTAAACATCACATAGGAAGAAAGACAAACTAATATCATTGTCCTGGAGCGATCAAACTCATCTAGCATAAAGGCCATCATGATGAAGTATCAACTCAGATGGGCCGGTCACCTTGTGAGGATGAATGACTTGAGGCTTCCTAAGCAAATCTTTTATTCCCAGCTCAGTGATGGATCACGTGCCCCCGGAGGTCAAAGGGAGCGTTTCCGTGACAACCTTAAAATGCATCTCAAGCGATGCCACGTAGATCCAAGAAACTGGAAAATCTATGCTCTTGATAGACCATCATGGAGGGCCAAAATAAACAATCGAACTCAGCATTTTGAGGCCGAGCGAAGAGAGTTGATGGCCAGGAAAAGAGCACGCTGAAAAGCACACACACCAGAGACAGAGACGACAAGTGGGAGCTCCAGGATGGACCATCCATGCCCCCACTGTGCCAAGATCTGCAGGTCACGGATTGGCCGATTCAGCCATCTCCGGACCCATGGCCAGCCAGGTCCACCTCACAACACAGACAAGTGACACCTGGAGGGAAATCAAACTCGACTTCGAGGGATCCCAGAAGAAGAAGGTTTGGGCTACCTGAGCAATGGGCAGGGCTACCTGAGCAGTGGGCAGGGCTGCTGGAGCAGTGGGTGGGGCTACCCGAGTAATGAATGGGGTTTCCAAAGTGGATGGGGCTAAACGAGTAATGGGTGGGGCTACCAGAGCAGTGGGTTGGGCTACTTGAGTAGTGGTTGGGGCTACAAAAGCAGTGGGTGGGGCTACCTTAGTTGGTGGGGCTGAGTAGTGGGCGGTGTTGAGTAGTGGGTGGAGCTACTTGAGCAGTGGGTGGGGCTACCTGAACAGTGGGTGGGGCTACTAGAGTAGTGGGTGGGGCTACTGTAGTAGGCGGGGCAACCATAATAGTGGGCGGGGCTGAGTAGTGGATGAACAGAGCACCGGAGTGGTGAGATGTTATCTGCCTTGCCTGCTATACAGGAGGTCGTGGGTTCAAACCCGCGCCTGATGCCTGTATAAATGGAGTTTTCATGTCTCTCTCCATGGTCGCATGGATTTTTCTCTGGGTCCTTCGGTTTTTCCGTCCACATTTATAAAGGTGCGTTTAGAGTATTTGGCTGCTATACATTTAGACATGATAAGCCACTTCGTTGAGCTGTCATTTGTGGCCAGGTTGCCTCTGAAAAAGACCTACATAGGATATTGAGCTTCATTTGGTAAAATAAAAAATAGTTTTAGTTTAGTTTTACATGGTACAATGAGGCGCTGCCATGTCACTGTTGAGTGTCCGAGAAATTCGGTAGAGAGCATCGTGATGAAAATATAAATACGGTCACGAAATACTTGGTCTGTGAAAATCACGTGACATTTCTGGAACACCACGTCCAGTGACCCGGTAGCTGCTGTAGAGTGTGGCGCTAAACTGGCACGGACCGGCACGAGGCGACCAAGCGGTGAGCACTGCAGCTCACGCAGTCCCAGTCGTTTTACATTTCATTAAAATTTTAGGGAATGCTCCCCTCTACCACAAACCACTTTTTGTATACGAACTACAGTCTATGCACTCACGTCATTTTGAGAACACAGTGTACGCATTAAATATATTCGTTTTTATTAAATATACTAAGAGCACATTTATCAATTTGTCATATAACAGGATTGATAATAACACATGTTGTTGTATTATTTCTGCACTATAACAACCTCAGCATACTTTATATTAAATCAAGGTTGTTAAAATTTGAAAAAACAATGGGAAGCTGAGAGAGGAATATTACAATATTTTGTTGGATAGTATTGTTCCGTTAGTACTTGAAAATTATGACTTCACGCAGGAGAGGCTCCCGCTCACACAAACCGTCTCACCTCCCGTGTCTTGCGCTCATCCTCCAGCGTAGCCACATCGTGACCCTTGTGGTCTCCTGCGATGGTGCAGGTTGTGCAGACAAAGCTCTTGTCCTGTCGGCAGTAAAACTTGATCTTCTTTCTGTGCGTCTTGCACTTGCGTTCTTCAGGATTCGTGGCTGGATCCACCAGAACGTGGTCACTGAACTTCGGGTTCTCCTGATGAGGCTTTACATGAGTCACACAGTAGGAGGTTTCACACTTGAGGCAGGTCATCGAGGCAGCGGTCGTGCCATCGTTGCAGAAGTCACACAAGACCATGGTGGCCATTTTCTCTGCGGCACTGCGCTGCTCCACCAGGTTGGCGAGCGTGAAGTTCTTGCTCAGCTTGGGCCTCTGAGGGAAGGTCACTCGGCACTGCGGGCAGGAGAAGGACTTGGCCGAATCCCAGGCGTCTTCCACGCACTTGAGGCAGAACGAGTGGCCGCAGCTGAGCGTGCAGGGGCAGCGGAAGGCGTCCAGTCAGATGGGGCAGGTCAACTCCCCTGGAGCCTCGCTACCACTGGGAGCCGCACTCGCCATGCCCTGTGGCTCCACTCAGAGACGAGTACTGGCTGTAGCTCAGGCAGTCGCTGGCTGTAGCTCAGAAAGTCGCGGGCTGGAGCTCAGGCAGTCTCTGGCTGTAACTTTAGACAGTTGCTGACTGTAGCTCAGGCAGTCTCTGGCTGTAGCTCAGGCAGTCGCTGGCTGTACCTCAGGCAGCCACTGGCTGTAGCTTCAGATAGTATCTGGCTGGAGCTCAGGCAGTCTCTGGCTGTAGCTCAGGCAGTTTCTGGCTGTAGCTCAGACAGTCTCTGGCTGGGGCTCAGGCAGTCTCTGGCTGGGGCTCAGGCAGTCTCTGGCTGGGGCTCAGGCAGTCTCTGGCTGTAGCTCAGGCAGTCTCTGGCTGTAGCTCAGGCAGTCTCTGGCTGTAGCTCAGGCAGTCACTGTCTGTAGATCAGACAGTCTCTGGCTGTAGCTCAATCAAGTCACTGTATGTAGATCAGACAGTCTCTGGCTGTAGCTCAGGCAGTCTCTGTCTGTAACTCAGGCAGTATCTGACTAACTCTGGCAGTCGCTGGCTGTAGCTCAGGCAGTCTCTGACTAACTCAGGCAGTCTCTGTAGCTCAGGCAGTCGCTGTCTGTTTCTCAGGCTGTCGCCGGCTGCGTCTGAGACGCTAAACGAGGAACAAGCCACGTAAATGGGCAACAAGGAAGTAGGAAGTCTTTCAGTTTGAATTGCGTATTACGAGGCGCGCCGTGGAATGTGTTGACGTGTGAGCGAGTACAGACGTCTCCGCTCCAGGGGTGGCTTAAAAAAGAAGACTCGGATCACCTCGTCTCAAATACTCATCCTCACCTCTACTCACCCTCACCTCTACTCACCCCATCGTAACTCACCTCACCTCAACTCACCTCATCTCACCTCAACTCACCTAAACTCCCTTCAACTCACCTCATCTCAACTGAACTGGCAGGAGAACTTTGCTAGTAAACTCGTTGCTCCCTGCCGCTCTACTCCACGAGATTGTTGTTGTTTCCAGAATCAAAATCAAAGGGTTTTATTCGCCATGAAAGTTCGCACAGACAAGGAATTAACTTTGGCAGGACGGTGCATACATTCAACATGTAGGAATCTTAAATCTTAAATAAGTGGTGTACAAGTCTAACTATACTAAAGGTACAACGTCTAATACTAAGGGGATAAAGTATGTACAAATTTAGAATAAAATAAGATTTGTAAATAGCTATACTATACAATATAAAAATACAAATAGGGTAACATAGTGCAAATATGGAAAGGTGTCATTGTGCAGATAAAGTGTTAAAGTCAGTGTGAGCCCTTGGCCTTGTTGAAGAGGCCAGCAGTGGATGGGAAGAAACTGTTTTTGTGGCGTGAGGTTTTCGTCCTGATGGACCGCAGCCTTCTGCCGGAGGGGAGTAGCTGGAACAGAGAGTGTCCAGGGTGGGAGGAGTCGGCCACAATCTTCCTCGCTCGCCTCAGGGTCCTCGAGGTGTGAAGGTCCTCAAGGGTAGGCAGATTGCAGCCAATCACCTTCTCAGCAGTTCGGATGATACGCTGCAGTCTGCTCTTGTCATTGTCAGTGGCAGCAGCATACCAGATGGTGATGGAGAAGGTGAGGATGGACTCAATGATGGCTGTGTAGAAGTGCACCATCATTGTCTTTGGCAGGTCGAATTTCTTCAGCTGCCGTAGGAAATACATCCTCTGTTGTGCTCTCTTTATGAGGGAGCTGATGTTCAGTTCCCACTTAAGGTCCTGGGAGAGGATAGTGCCCAGGAAGCGGAAGGACTCCACAGTGTTGACTGGGGAGTCGTACAGGGTGATGGGGGTGAGTGGGGCTGTATTCTTCCTGAAGTCCACAACCATCTCCACTGTCTTAAGAGCATTGAGCTCTAAGTTGTTCTGGCTACACAAGGTCACCAGGTTGTCAGCTTCCCACCTATAGTCAGACTCATCCCCACCAGAGATGAGCCCAATGAGGGTGGTGTCGTCCGCAAACTTCAAGAGTTTGACGGACGGATGACTGGAGGTGCAGCTGTTGGTGTACAGGGAGAAGAGCAGAGGGGAAATGACGCAGCCCTGAGGAGATCCGGTGCTGATGTACCGGGAGTCAGAGACTTGTGTTCCCAGCCTAACGCACTGCTTCCTGTCAGACAGGAAGTCTGTGATCCACCTGCAGGTGGAGTCGGGCACGTTCAGCTGGGAGAGCTTATCCTGAAGCAGGGCAGGGATGATGGTGTTGAAAGCAGAGCTGAAGTCCACAAACAGGATCCTGGCATAGGATGCTGGGGAGTCCAGGTGCTGTAGGGTGAAGTGGAGGGCCATGTTAACTGCGTCGTCCACAGACCTGTTGGCTCTGTAGGCAAACTGCAGGGGGTCCAGGAGAGGGTCTGTGATAGCTTTGAGATGTGCCAGCACCAGGCGCTCAAAAGACTTCATTACCACAGAGGTTAGGGCGACGGGTCTATAATCATTAAGTTGTTGGCCTTAGCTTTTTGGGTACAGGGATGATAATGGAGGACTTGAGACAGGCTGGTACATGGCATGTCTCCAGTGAGGTGTTGAAGATGTTGGTGAACATTGGAGACAGCTGGTCAGCGCAGTGCTTGAGGGTCGCTGGAGAGACAGAGTCTGGCCCAGCTGCTTTGCGGGGGTTCTGCCTCTTGAAAAGTATGTTAACCTCTCCCTCCTGATTTGAGAGAGTCATCTCTGTAGTGGGGGGGGGGGGGGGGGGGGGGGAGAGGGGATGCCTCTTGGGTGGGAAGGGGTAGTTCAGGACAGTCCAATTGTCTTTCAAATCTGCAGTAGAACTCGTTCAGGTCGTTGGCCAGGCGGGAGTTGTTAGTGGTGTGGGGGGCTCTGGGCTTGGTAGCGGCGTTCAAAATCCAGTAAATCCTTGTGGAAGCGCTCGCCTTGATCCTCCGAGTACACTCCAATGTTCTCCTTGAATTTATCAAGATGGGCATACAGGATATGGGCTTTGAGGGACATCCTACAGCCCATTGTGCCCTAGTTCTTCACCAGCCTCAACCAGCTCCACATAGTTTTTGACCTTGTGTTTGCCCAGAAAGACAAAAAATCAGTGCGACAAAACTGTTCCAAGCCGCTTCCTCCTTGCTAGTGAGCTTCTTGGGGGATTCATTGCACTCCAGGATATTCTTTATCTGTGATCCGATGAAGACACCGGCTTTGACCTTTGCCTCAGACAGCTTAGTGAAGAAGTCTTGAAGGTACTTGAAGGCTGCCGACTCTTTATCTCCAGCTCTGACAAATTGTTTCATAAGGCCCAATTTGATGTGCAGCATTGGCATCAGCACCTTCCGGGGGTCCACCAATGGCTCCCACTTGACATTGTTCCTCCCCACAGAGAACTCGATCCGCTATGGCCAGTCCTGCCTGTGGTAGTGCGCCTTGGTTGTCCCTGCTGACCCAAAGGCAAATATAGCAGGGAAACTTGGTAAAACCTCCTTGGAGACCCATCAGGAATGCCATCATTTTGAAGTCTCCGATGACTTCCCAGCCGTACTCATCAGACTGTAAGTCGTCCAGCAAGGTATTGATGCTGTTGTAATCCTCTTTGAGGTGCACCGAGTGAGCCAGGGGAAGAGACGTGTACTTGTTACCATTAGGGAGCAGCACAGCTTTGAGGCTCCTGGATGAGCTGTCAATGAAGAGGCGCCACTCATTCTGGTTACAGGCGATTCTGATTGCCACAGACTGGTCACATTGTGGCAGAAGAAGAGCCCATCTTGACGGGTGAAGAAGCTGCAAAAAGGTTGGTGATGCTTCCTCTGATCTGAGACTTGCACACTTTCATCCAACAAGTTCCACTGCTTGAGCCTAGACGTCAAAAGCTCGGCATTAGACTTGGTGAGACCAAGATCTCTAATCAAGTCGTTGAGGTCTTTTTGGTTGGGGTAGTATGGTTTCTCTCCTCAGCTCTACCTCTGAAATTGTCATCTGGATCTACATCTTCCTTGCTCTGACTTGCTGCTCTCTTCTCAAGACGGCTGCTCTCTCTCTGGAGTGAGTACGGGGAGCTCATGGCAGTGTGTTACCGGGGTGATGGATGAAGGAAGGTCCTGATACGTGATAGCAGGTGCATTATTGGCAGTCCGACGTTTGGAAGGGTCCACCTTGCAAAAGTAGCAGTTGCTTGAGTGGTCACTGGGTTCCCGCCAAATTATTGGGATAGCGAACTTCATGGCTCTCTCTTCCCCTCTGTACCATTCTTCAAAAATAAATTTCACCCATGAATAATGTGTAAGAGAGTCTGACATTTTTCATGTTTATTTTTTTCAATAACATTAAAAATTGTAAAACATTTTAAAATTAAAAACTTTAACAATTAAAAAATTGGAACAAATTTTATAATATTAAATTCTCAGCAACAATTGTACATCTTACCTTCCAGAGTTTTTTTTACATTGCTTGAAGGTGAAATGAGGTGCCCAGAGTTTGTCTTGATCCCCGACAGGCATGCCAAAATATGCCTTGTAGGTCTCCACATTTTAGCAGATCCTTCCACAGAGTACTTTTTCGCTCGTCTTGATAAATTGGCCACAGACATAGCAAAATGCGTCTGCCGGATGCTTGCAGCCTCTTGATGCCATCTCAGAAAAATGCAGATATGTATCCACTTAGGCAGCTGGAACTAAACTGAACTGGTGGGCTTAAGGCCCCTGTATTTATACTACTATTTATATTACTGGAAAGTTATATAATGTTCTAGAAGTTACTCCAAATTTGCTCAGCACTTAATCTATCTTGAAAATAGGTAAATTCCAAAATATCACTGTCCTGGTCACAAAAGGTTGTGGGGAATAGCCAATTCTGTACTTTTGAGGCATAAGCAATGAGTGTAATTCAGGCGTGTTAAGAAAAAGTCATGAACTAATGATGACAGGTCTGCGGCAAAGAGGAGCGGGCACAACCCTCCGAGTGTTTGTAGGTGGTAGATATCTGCTCTGAACGTAGCTATGAGTTGTGAGCGCAGGTCAAGCTCTGATCGCTGCAGTCAGTTTTGCTCTGTTCAAACAGCGACCTCAGACAAGCATTCTCAAATAACAGAGATGGTGGCATCTTGATCTGACGGACATTGAAAACTAATTTCTTTAGAACTGATTTTTGTGTTTGGTTTGTTGTCCTCACCCCGCACCTCTGATTAGCACGATTGGCTATGTACGGTGCGAAAGAAGTTCAACATACATACATAGAATCTGAATCAGCATCTTTATTTCAACTGGAGGAATCTAATGAGTTATGAAGCTCTTTTTCGAGATGTGCAGTAGGGGCAGGACAGAAAGTTACAATAACAAACAGTACAAATAACCGATAGGGGTGTAAAATATAGCAAAGGTGTGCAAATCACTGAAACTAGATAAAGACTAATTAAACAAAGTATATAACTACAAATTGCAACCGATTTTTTTCTACACGTACATTTATTTAATGAAGATTTATGATGTTAAGGGAGGAAACAAGGTTGTTCCAAAACGTTGGTGCTGCAACAACAAAGGCCTTGTCACCCATTCCAATTCTCGTTGTTGGGATAGTTCACAGGCAATTAGATGTGCGTCTTAGGTTTCTTTGGCTTGACAGTGCGCTTTATGATTTAGCTAATTAAAGCACAGATTTGCCAATAAGGGTTTTTATGCATGAACAGGGCCCAATGTAGATTTCGTTTTGCATCAAGTGATGTAAGATTGGATTTGAAGTCGAGGTCACATTAGTGGGTGCTACATGGTACATACAATACAAATAGAAGATCAGAATGATAAATGGGGTTTAGTCTGTTAAGTGTTAGATTAGTAGCTGATGTATACGCAGCGTCACCATAGCCACCGTACCTTGTTATTTAACAATTTGTGGACGAGATGTTACCACAATGTACCTTTTTGATAATGGTCTGAGATGTATCTCTAAAATAATTGAATCGTACTGTCTGACAATTATAGCTGACTGTGTCTTGATTAGAATATCATGGGCAAGAGTTTCAAAAGGCTTTTTACGAGGATACAATGCCACGTTACAGACAGAAAATGCCGATTTGTCATTCATTTAAGCGCTACAGCCGATGGTGGTGTACCTCGGCACATCTGTCACTTCTCCTGCTCAAAGGAGATGAACTTAACCCACGATTCATGAACTTAACAATAACATTAACCCTGGAATATGCTCACACAGCAGAATGGGGAAGATAAGAAGGCGTTCCAAGAGGGAAACACTTCACATATTCAAGGGCCTCTCCATGGACATGGATAGTCTGGGGGTGGTTGGCTGATCCAATGGCGGTTGGTGGACGACCTTGGCTTTGGTGATGTTCAAGAGTGGTACCGCCCACCCACCCCCACTCCTCGTGTGCCGTGTCGGCCTTCAATGGTGCAACTCGCTAACAGCACGTGGCTCAGCAGAAGTGTGCTAAGGCTGTACGGGGATATTTGTGAACACCTCTACAGTCTTGTCATCTCCCACAGCTCCGAGATTACGGAGCCATCGCTGCAATCCATATTTAGTCAGCTGGGAAAAGTAAGATGGAATTCATTCGCAAATCAGTGGGTATCTCTCAATGGATCGTCCTGTTTTCGGGTGATTTCTTAAGTTTGTGGTTTGTATGTTAAAGGTGGTTTCAGGTGATAATTGGTTCTTTACCCTTCTATCTGGCAACAAAACTGACACCTTTTTGCAAGGAGTCATGTTTGCATAGACCGCAATACCTGCAGTCATAAATACAAACAAAAGACATAACTCTGATAATGTGCACTGTCCTTGAAGTTGATTGGTCCACACCCGAGACAGCTTTCCTTCGAGCCTAGTCTCATATGGGTTGGACCAGATGACGCCAAAAGGCGCCTTTTGGCGTCATCTGGTCCAACCCATATGAGACTAGGCTCGAAGGAAAGCTGTCTCGGGTGTGGACCAATCAACTTCAAGGACAGTGCACATTATCAGAGTTATGTCTTTTGTTTGTATTTATGACTGCAGGTATTGCGGTCTATGCAAACATGACTCCTTGCAAAAAGGTGTCAGTTTTGTTGCCAGATAGAAGGGTAAAGAACCAATTATCATATTTTTACTGGCAAATGAGGTCCCCATAGTGGTGGTTTCAGGTGTTGGTGGTTTGTGGTCAATGCAGGATTGAACGCTTTGTTAGAATGTGGCTTTTTATTAAATGGTATATGGGCAGCTACACGAGGTTATTTTGTTTTAGCGAAATGAGAGTGAGACAGTGGGTGCATGAGGTGGGTAATTGAATGAGTGGATGAGTGTAAGAGTCACACAATGTGAGTGAGATGGTGAGTGAGTGAATGAGTGATATGGTCGGTGAGTGAGTGAATCGATGGGTGCGTGAGATGGTGGGTGAGTGG